ATTTATCTGCAAATTTTACGAAGGTACGTTAGTTTTTCTTTTTGAGTTACCAATTCATTTATTAATTGATGTATATATTTTTTTTATCGTTATTGATTAATCTCTATATTTAATTAATTGCAATTTTGACGAGGGTGGATTATAAATTACTACATAATGTTGAGCATAATAATTTGACACGTTTAAAATTTTGACTGCGTATTCTAGATTTTAATTTTGACGCTTAAACTCTGGTATTAAAAATTTGTTTCAAACTTATATGTTACGTCCAGGACGACTCCACGATTTCCTCGTTTCGAGATCACTTAATAGGGTGATTGTTGCGACAGGATGCGAGAAAAGAATGCGAGAGTTAATGGTCACCGATCGACGAGCGTGACAATATGTAGAAAATGTGTCGTTGAAAGCCTTCCCAACGGTTTTGGAAAGATAACAAAAACATAGATATCCAGGATCACCCGATCCGCGGTAATAAAATTTATGACAGATTACAAACCATGTCGAGAATGTTCGGTTTAAACTTGTTCAGTTTCAATAAGTAATATATAAAAACAGATCGGGAATCCTGAGTAAATAGAAATTCGCATTCCCAAACGCATTTAACGTGTTGAAGGGCGTTTTTTCGTTAACAACAGGAAGTAATAGAATAGAAATAGCTTGACAAGAATAGATTCTAATTTTTTGCCGACGATCATAAAATTATGAAGAAATACTGTCTAGACGAGAAGACGCACGTTCAAGTACCTAATAAAAGAGAAATCGGAAATAAGAAAAAAGGGGAATGCGAGTTTTCAAATTGTCGTGGTCGGGTCGTTCGGAAGGGACGATGAGTGAAATACCCCTTCTCTTCAGAGAGAATACCAAAAACTAAACTCCCCAATGGGTGACCATGAATCTGAAAATCTAGAGAAGGTGATGACGTATCACCAATAAGTTCTCAAGGGATTGAAACTTGCAGTGCGGGCGGAGCAAATTTTGAAAGTAGTTCATCAGTAGGAATATGAAACACAAATTTCCTACAAAAGCAGAAAAATCCATCCAACTCGAATCCTCGATTTTTCCCACTCAATATGTCTCATCAGAGATCCATCCTTTGAAACTCTCTATATAAACCATGACACTGCGAGACTCGCTCTCTTCATTTTTTGATCTTACTCTGTGTCCGGTCCTCAACCAGTCCGTCATTCTTTCTAGCAGTTATTTCGCTCAATTAAGATATATATATATATATATATTAACCATACTCGCGAGCAACGGCACAACTTCGTCGCGCGTTCTTGGT